GTGCAATTCAACGACTTTTATTTGCCAATGTCCGCCAGGATCCATTGAGGTTGATGACTCGTGCATCGAAGTTTCGAACGCACAAGGTAAATTTAATTGACAGTAGTGACAGTTTCAGTTTCAATTGTAATTGCTGTAGAGATTCCAGTCACGGTTGGCCAATCGTGCCGCGAAAGAAACGATTGTGAAAAAGGAGCTTACTGTAACATGAAGTCGCTGAGGTGCCAGTGTTTTTCAAGAGACGTGGAAATTGACAAAAAGTGTTTTCGAAGTGAGTTTTGTGGTGACAGAGTTTGATTTTTTTTTAAAATTTTGAAGTTTTTCTTCATGAAGTTTGTCAATGGAGCTGTGAAAATTTGCTACTCTGTTTAAACGAGTGTTTTCAATATCTTTAAAAGTTTTATGGGCCTAGAATTTTCTACAGAGTGGTATGCCTGCTCAAAATTTTTTTAATTAAAACATTTTGTTCCTCTGACTTAAAGTTTGAGAATCTCAAACGATTTATTGAATTACTTTTACTATTTAAACTAAATCAAGCGAATTTACTTACAAGCCATCGCTACTATAAAAATGAATTAACCTAAGCATTGCCATTTGAACTTCCTACAGCTCTGGCGGTAACTGAGGCTAATATTCGAATTTTTTGAAAGTCAAGTATGAAAACCAGTCCTTAAAGCGCATGCAGAATTGTTTTAGAATAATACATTTAAATTATTTCAGTTATGTATCCTGGTCAAAAAGGATGTCACTACAATCGGCAGTGCGCAGCGTCTTACGAAGGTGCCATTTGTGCGAATGCCACCTGTATCTGTTCTTCCGACAACATTGCTTGCAAGGAGCACGGTATTGTTTATAATAGAATATGCATCAATTGTGCATTACAAACATTTAGAAATTTTGGACAAATATCGAGGAGTTATATCAGCATCTTTGTTAGCCGTGCCAGGATCCACGTGTTCGGACAATTTGCCGTGTTCCGGGGGTGCCATATGCCAAAATGGATTCTGCATTTGCCCTCATCCACGAATGAAAATAATCGACGGCACTTGTTTGTTCCCTGACCATTCTGCCATTTCTATGAAGTTGGCTAGCAACTTCTACGTTCCGCAATATTACACGATACAGACGACGACCCAGAACTCGGTTCCGCCACTTTTCGCAGGACCTGGATCAGCTTGTGGTAGAGCATGCTTTCTTCTTCCTGATTATATTACCTCTACACCAGCAGATTTGCAGGCAATTATACTGTCTGCCTTGGAAATTCGACTTGCATACACAACGTATGCCAATGTGCGAACGGCACTGTTTCATCAGATTGGCGATGCGTTCCCGCTAAGCTGTCAGGTAAAGACAGTGTTTCTGCCTGTGAAATAAATGCTGGTGCAAAAATGGCTTTAAGAATCAAACCAAAATGCCCTTCCATATGAATCGTGCTCGCACGGAGAAACGTGCACGGGAAATTCGTTTTGTGATGGAACTATATGTCGCTGTCCGGCGAATACTATTCTAACAGTGGAGAAGACGTGTCAGTCAGTTCGTTTCAGTGTTCCTTATAGCTCCTGTGCAGAGGGTCAGCAATGCCTAGGCGGCTCTTACTGCAATCCAAATAATTGGCTCTGCGAGTGTCCGGACAACCAACAGCCAGTCAACGATCAGTGTGTCAACCTGCCGACGAGAGTCACCGTTAACTACGGACCGCAGGCACAATCGAATCTGTGTTCATACGACTCTGAGTGCACAGGAGGCGCCATATGCATAGACGGTGTCTGTACCTGCCCTGACGGTATGACCATGAACGAACAGAGCATATGCTCCGTGAACTCGAACCGTATGCGCATACTCCTGGCTATAGTTCTTTCATCAGTCTCTGTATTTAAGCGATTAATTATGCGTCCGGCCAATGCCATGATGACGCTCAGTGTTATCATGGATTTGTATGCATGCAGAATATGTGCCAGTGTCCCCCTTATAAGGTGCTGAATTCTCAAGGAATGTGCGTCGCCAATGCACAGTTCCAGAGAACGCTGTCAGGTAAGAACCTAAACCACGCGGGACTTGTTCAGTCGTCAACGTTCAGACATGACTTCTACCACAACGTTTTGCCAGAAGGACTCTCAGTGCTCTAACGGTACGATCTGTTTGGAAAACGTGTGTCAGTGCCCTCCTGGACAATTGCAAAATTCGGATAATAGTTGCGGTCCGACGAGAGAAATGGTGTCGATAGGTATGACTTTCTATGCATGCAACTGTCCTTTTATGTAGTTTGCAGGTGCCGCATGCAACGTGATGACGTTGTGCGCCGGCGGGGCAGTGTGCATGGACGGGAGCTGCCAGTGTCCACCTGATAAAATCCAAGTTGGCCAAGTGTGCTTGCAGTCTAACGATAACGGTAAAGGTGCTAAGTAGCATTTGAGTGATTTGACTAAGGAATTGTACGGAGAATGTGAAACGACAGCAAGTGCCATCATAACATTTTAATCTGAAGGTCAAAGTACCGGCGCCGCCTATGCAGATGCGGTGTTACCGCGTAGTTTACGATAAACGAAAGAATTGTCACTTATTCTGATTTTTAAGGCTCTAAGACTAAATACTGAAAACCGTTCGTAAGTAGGTTCAGCCAGAACGCTGAATTGATACTGAAAGAATTGGTGCTCTACGTAAATAAACCATGATAAATCAAAAAATAGACAGCTATATCGCAATGATAGCTGTCAACGCTTCAACTGGTGTCTCGTATCCTACATGGCCTGTAAAGAATATTTAGTTCTATTGTAGGTCGGCGGCAATCTCGGTGTACTACTTTAGCGTTAGTTGTGCCGGTCATGCGGGCGATACAGCTCTGCAACTGAAGCAGTTTTTCTTTCACTGTTGTTAGATTCTTTAACATGCGCGTATTCCTTTATAGGCTCACAATGACTTTCGTAACTAAGACACAGTTGCACCCTCTGGCTATTTAAATGTTTAAGTCTCGATGATCGTTTTTTTAAGAATTTATTGACTTGGAAACTTTGAAGTAAGTTACCATTAGAAAACTGCGCTCTTTAAATAATCCTACTTTAAAATCAGCCGCATCATTTTGCTGCTATAAGTGAGCTAATTTTTGCACTTGTTGAGCATCACATTACTGTTCGAAAATGAATTTCTTTGCATAATACGTTGCTTCATTTACAGCATGAAACGAATGAACAGGTGGCCTGATTATGGTTTGGATGGTCATATCGAATGTCTTTCTCAACTGCAACTTTATCGTTTTTCGCTTTTGTAATTCTTTGCTTACAAGCTTCGTGCATTTCTACACTACTAGCACATTTTTATGAATGTGCTGTTGCTTTATGACAAGTCTACCTCAGTTGCATTATACCTCAATCAGATTTCGCTTTTCTTCGTGCTTCGGCTTTGTATCTTATGTTCATGAATAACCACGGCACGTGCGTGGGTGCTGCGATTACTGCTTCTGATCAATTGCTTCTGATCAATTTAAGGTATTGCTTATAGCAAATGAGTCACAACAATGGCGAGAATCACAAATTTTGCTTAGTATATTTATAACGTCATTAGCTCTTTCGTTAGTCTGAACTTTAATGCTCATCAAGAAATGCCTTTTCGCTTGAAGCATGCTATCGGAAACTCTGTTACTCAATTGTAAATGAAGAAATTATCGTTTCTAACGTGCAGTGTGGGAGTGGTTTAAATCTGAGAGAAAACATTAAGGTTAACCCATCTCTAACACGTTGGAAGAGAAAATAGTGAGCATCACTACATACTGTGCAGTTTTCAGTGAAGCCAATGAATGCCTTTTGCCTTATACCTCCCTAATAAGGCCAACACTGCAGCGGAGTATTACCAATTCAGTGATATTCATCGCTTTCCACAGAATAGATGTGAGATGGGGAAATTATTACTATAGTGTTTGATTCTCGGTTAGAGACAAAAATAAAGGCTAAGGCATGGGACAACATCATATAGCTGATACAGCGCAGTGTCCCTAGCACCACGAAGAACCCATAAACCCGAAACTGTAGCGTAAAATGCTTCATTCAGATCTACCCTTCTGAAGAGAGGATGACAAATGACTGATTGCTAGTCTCTATATCTGAGTCAAACGGAATATGCTCAGACACTTAGTCAAACACTAATAGCATCTGTTGATTCACTAATTAAGCTTTGTGGCATGAGGGATAAACGATTCCAAATTCTATATCATTATCATCAATGCATCTACCCGCTTTCAGTCTCAGTCGTCCATCATGTCAAGGCATAACTTGATTTAAAGCGTTTTCAGATTGGTGACTAAGTTAATGTTAGTTAACAAAGCGATATTTCCGCAGCATTTGACACCCGGCCGAATTACGAAGTATGTGAAATTACAGCTTATTTGAATATGATCGCTCTTATTGAAGTATCGAATCTCTACTGGCACAAAAGTCTTTAAATCAGTGAATATGTCGATTAAAGAAAAGTCGAATCAGCCTCCGTTAAGCCCAGTACCGTCAATATGCAAGATGTCTCGTTGAAGCACTACGTAGCCGTAATTGGGGGGGGGGGCAGTGGTGCAATGGATTTTGATAAACTGGGTTCAAACCTAATGCACCGCGCAAGTTTTTTTCTTGTTAACCGCCAATTCCTTTGAACAAAAAATTCACCCACTCTGCTTCGGTATGACCAACCGAAAAAAGGTAGCAGGATATTGACCTCCGAATAATACGGACAGCATGATGCTTATGATCATGCAAAAGCATGTGAGACCTGCGGTGATTTTGCTTGATGCCTATGTTTTGCAGCTGCAATTGCCCTTAAGCCTTTCGATAACTGATTAAATTCAACACAACGTGCAAGCGTAAATTATGATTAAAAAATAAATAAGGCTGGAGGCTTTTGATTCTTGGGTCGTAGTTATATAGATTGGTGGTTGAACGCTCGGGGCATTAGACACATCAGATAGTGAAATCCTTTCTGTCAGTGCGTTTCGCGACATACATTGTAGCACCATCAGGAGAGGGTACAAATGGCTGCTTGACAGCACCTACATCCATCAAGCGAACATCGGAATGGGACGTTATGGTGCTGTCGTCGGCGCATTGAATCTATTTAATTGGATAGTGGTCAGCTGCTTTAATTGTATCATTGGCAACCAGACGTGAAAAGGGTAGCAAGTCGTCAACTGGTGAACAATGGGACAGCATGGAGTTACTGCATGGTCATGCCTGGACCGAACTTAAAGGCTATACAGTCTGCGTACGACTCACGGGTGCAATTCGGTAACTGGAAACCTCCTCCCCCTTACAAAACACTCCAAAAACATTTGTGATCATTAATCATTGAGCAGGATCTGGACCATAAGAATGATTATTTCACCGTTCTAAAAGCTCCTCTCCTCCAACCATAATTTTGGCTTTACACTCGACCTTGTTGCTTCTTCTTTCACACTCGAACGATACAACTCCATTTGCCATATTTCTCTGCATCACATAAATATGACCTGTGAAAACCATCTTCACCTTTCCTTTATTCGATTCTACAAATTTCATCATGGGTTATAATACCCTTGAGACACTAAACTTCATCTTCTTCCATCGCCGCTTCTCATTTCGGGTCGCGGAGGCAGACGCGTCAGACAGTGTTTCCAACGTTCCCGATCCTGTGCCAGAGTCTGAGCTTCGGCCAAAGACAAATGCAGCCTGGAACAGACTCCTTTCATATGTTTGCACCAGGTTAATCTTGGCCGACCCCTGGGCCTTTTGCCGGTCGGATTTGCAAGGAACAGTTGCTT